AGGAAATGCCTGGTTCAGTCCCACATTTGCAAACATCAAGCAAGAAGGGAGAAGGGGCTCTGGCATTCTTGCACCTCATTGCCTCTATCTTCTGTAGACTTTCTCAGCAGTACTTCTAAAGCTTGGAGTTTCCAGTGAATCATAGGCAATCTGTGCTTAGTGAGGCCTTTGAGAAGCAAAGGAGCCTTTTAGAGACTATACCATTTACAATGACAGTATTAGACTGTGGTTTATTAATGGAGCTGAAGTGAAATGCAAGCTGTAGTGTTTGAAGGAGTCCCCGTTTGGAGAAAACAAGTAGCAAGTGGAAGGTGAAGGAGAAATATTGACAAATATAAACAGGGAGCTAAACAGTCTTGTAGATTAGAAGTCGCAGGGTGACATCTCTGAAGCAGCTTGAGAATGGCATCTGCTAATGGCCAAGATAGATGTGAGAGCAAATAAGCATATCACTTGCTGATGCATCTGCTTCTAAAAAATAGTTAATAAAAGGTGTGTGCATATGCACACACACACACAATTCATTGGGACCACAGTACACAATACACGGTACCGTTTCATCTCTTACCTGGTCTTGATGAAAATCCTCCATCCTCAGCTGCTGTTAGCTCAAATAATTGTCTCAGCAGCTGCTTAGCATTCGGAAGCACTGATTCAAACAGGCAGGTGTTCATGTCTCTTTTACTGACCTGATGCCCTCCAAATGTTTTGGACTACAACTCCCACCAGCACTAAGCAGCTTGGCTATGCTGGCTGGGACTGATGGGAGTTGTAGTTGAGAAAATCAGGCTGGCAAAAGCTGGTGTAGTGAAGGGCTCATGTCTGAATGTGTCCTATGTCAAATTCTCCCTCCACAAGGAAGCCTTATATGTCAGTGAGAAAGCAAAATTGGAGGGTTGCCATATGTTCTCTTTTTCCGGGGCACATCCTCTTTTTCATGGGTAGAGTCGTCATAGCAATCCATAGTTAAGTCAACAAATATGTCCTCTTTTTAGCTCTTCAAAATATGGCAACCCCAATTTTTAGCTCTTCAGAATATGGCAACCCCAATTCAAGCAAGCAAGGCGAGATCACTCATATATGCAGAGGCATGAGATAGTTTCAGGAAGATCCTAACTTCTAAGGACCAGAACATGACTGAAACAGAACACTCCTTAAAAACTGTTTACATTTGGAGTCACTCTGCTCTTTCTTTGGCACATCAGGATGGCTTCACAGATTAATTGTTGACATGGCAGAATGACCACAAAGCAGTGGCATAGTGTGGATTGCCAGTGCCCAGGGCCCCATGGAAGGAGGGAAATGGATGCAGTACGCATGCACATTCAACTGCCCAATGGCATCTTCATCACCTAGGAGATTGCAGCCACAGAGATAACAAAAGAAGAGTTGTTCTGTTGTCTAGAGAAGTCACTTCCTGGTTCACATGGAGAAGCCATTTTCAATGGAGCTCAGCAACAGAAGCACATAGCTGTATTGAGGCAACACTAGCTGTTGAAAGTTTATGTCCCTAAAAATTTTGGGCCCGGGGCAACTGTCCCTGTGTCCTCCCATGCAATGCAACTGTCACAAAGTAAGTCTGTCACATGGTGAATGTGTGGTTTGAATGCACACTCATGTAGAACAGCTGTGATAGACCACACCAGTTCAAATCCTCATTTCCAGTGGTTTAAGTCTTGTATGGTAAATATGCCAGCTCACACAACACAGAAATATGAATCTGAGCATCCTCACATCTATTGCTGTGAGCCTGAGTGACTAGAGAAGTGTACCTTTGGTACAAAGTGGCCTTACCTTTCCATAAACTCACACACACCTCAGAAGACCTGCTGATCATCATTATTTCAGTCTTGTCTCGATTCAGTTTGAATTGTTTCAGTCATCAATTTGTCTCAGTAGTTAAATGCCATGTTGAAAGCTGGCAACTAGTGCTATTCCAAGGCTGGAATATCAAACAGCTTGATAATGGGGAAGAAGCTGCATAAGGGTCTCAGACTGACTGTCCCTTGGCTACGGAATGATGGACTACAGCTCTGAAATTTCAGATACATCCGCTCTTCAAGAATGCTAAAATCTCCCAAGAGGAGTTATGGGCCACTGTCATTTGTGATGGAGCATGACAACCTCAGATGGCCAAACAATTGCAGTAAACATAAATAATGGGATAAGAAACTGTCAGACAAGCTAGCATTGATGGACAGGGATCCCTGATGCTTGTAAAGATACTTGCTATAGCTGAATTGGCCACAGATCGTAGAAAGCTATAATTCAAAGGCTAAATATAGACCCCGGTACACAGAAAAAGTAGAGCTTTCCATCTCTGATACTGCTATCCATATAGAGCAGGGTCTGCCTCCTTAACCAGGTATCTGTGCACACAGGGAAAAAATGCTGAAACTGACTAACATGTGGGCAGGCACATAAGGGAAAATTCATTATTAATTTGGTTTTCTACCCTGCAATTTCCAGTGAATGGGCATCATTCTTTGGATCTGCGTTTGGCTGCCTGCCATCTTTGAGGATGGGAAGGGATTCCCACTCCCCCAAGGATCTCAAGGTGGGATACATGATTCCCTCCCCTCCACTGCCACACTTTATCCTTTCAAAATACCCTATGGAGTAGATTAGACTGAGAGATTGTAACTAGGCCAATGTCCTCCAGTCATTGTGACGAATGATCAGGAATTTGAACCTGGGTCTTTCTAGTCTTAGTCCTCAACTCTAACCACTGTATCTCATTGGCTCTCAATTGTCCAGTCACTCTGGCTCCATTACTTTTTTTAAGTCTAACATAGTTCAGTGCTCTTTGTATTGTGTAATATGGTCACTGCTGCCCTTGCAACATGGAGCGGTCTGAGAAGTTTATTCCTTGTTCTTCAGCAAGTTAAAGCACAAGCTCTTTGCAGGACAGATACAGTAGTATGTCTTGCCATTTATTATGTGTCATGGTTTCTTCGCCAGTTGCTGACAGTCAAAATGTGAATGGGCATGAAGGGAAGATGATAATTTATTTTGAAGCAAAGAAAAATGTTTTGAATACAGGGTAGCACTCATGAAAGGCCATCACTTCTTGCCAACATAATTTAAATATGAAAGGGTGCCAGTCATGTCATACAGCTGATCAGTCTTGCTCATATTTCTATATTGCAGTACACATGCATTTGGGAGCGCTTTCTAAGATACTCTTTCGTTCTAGATAGCTATTTCATTCCAGTGAGATGAATTAAAAAACATGGAGTAATATCCAACTAAGTCATACTCAAAGGCACATTGAAAACAATGAGCTGAGGTTAGTCACCACACATCCCGCCCCCCATCCTAGCTTTTAATTTCAGAGGAACGTTTGGAAATTCCAAATGTCCTCCCCATTCTTAGGGCAAAAATCTGAATAGGTTATTGTACTTCAAACTGTGTCTTTGAGTGAATGAGAAAAATCCCTAATGAACTTTGATGCAGTTGAAGTGTGTCCCTGAAACAACCAACAAATGGCTGTTCAAAACTTGTATCCACAGTCCAGAGGAAGTTAAGTACACTTAGATCCTACTGAATTCAAGGGGACTTAAATTTGTCATAACTAAATTAACCCCTAGAGTTCAGCAGGCCACGTGCAACTAGATTATCTCATTTCTTTGTATGGGGTGGGGGGTGGGGTTAGTGTACATATAAAATGTTGGATGTATTTCAGAAACAGACCAAAGAGCCACAGAGTTAGTCTTTTTTGAGACTCTGAAAATGCAGCAATCTTACCATGTAAGCATGAGTGGTGAAAGTATCAAATAGCAAATTGCCATTGATGGCTCAGAATAATAGAGCACAGGATCAGTGCGCTGTTCAGCTATCTGAAAGCAAAAGTCTTGGCCTTGTCGTAGCATTTATTTCCCATTAATGTCCCAGGCTCTCTAGAGATTCTCTTACTAGCAGGAGACCACCTTCTTGTGAGACACTTCTATTCTATTCACAATTATCTCTTAATTACTTCTGTCCTTTCCAGAGTGGCAACACCTTGAAGAATTTTCGTTATAGCGTGTCATTATCGACTTTGCACCTCCTTCAACTTCCACTGACAGGCTGACATTTAGTATTAAACCACAAAGACCTGAATAATCATAATATCTTTAAAACACACACACCATTTACAACACCACAACAGCAAATTCAGGATTAACATGGACTTTTGTGATTGGCTGGTTTTTGCATAGAGTAATTTACTAATTCCTTGGCATCATTTAAGCAGCTCGCTGGCAAAATAAAAATCCCTGGACTTGGAGAAAAAGTAGATTTAGGATTTTCCCACATGCTGTGATCTCAACCATGTTAGAAAGGAAGTAGTTTAGCTTGCAGTTGCTAAAAAATCTCCACTGTGTGATATTCAGTAGGGTTTGCAAAGCGATGGGCTAAAACAGTGAAACCACAAGATCTGCAAACACACATATCTTAATTTGTTGGTTGTTCACTTCCATGCTAATCATTTAGATATTAACGCCTGTTAGGTAAGTAATGCAAAACATAAGCAATTAACTACCTTCTCTTGTGCTCTCCTATTTCAAAACAGTGCACACATCTTCCCATATTTTAAGCCCTTAGCTCATGGGTTTTTGTGAAGGGTAGAATAGCTGGATCCATAAACATTGTTCATAACATTCTTTATCACAGTATGTGGCACATTAAAGACCAGTACTCAGAACACCCATTGAAATCAATGGATTTTAGTTTTTCATGTTTACTGTTTCTAATGGCTCGGCTCTGAGTATGAAGTAGACACAACCCTAATGTTTGGAATGTTTAGTCTATTTAAGGTGTGTCACAAGATACTTTCAGTGTAGGTGCCCAAGCAACCAAGATTTTCTCAGCATCTTCACAGTGTTGTCTTCATCAAAATGGCATCCTGTACACACCCACACTTAATCCAGATGTATCGTAGAGGAATAGTAGAATTTTAGAGTTGGGAGGGACCCTGAGGATCATTTAGTTCAGCCCCCTGGAATGCAGGAATATGCAGCTGTCCCATACAGGGATCGAACCTGCAATATTGGTATTATCAGCATCATGCTTTAACCAACTGAGCTGTCCAGGTCTCATTTCTATAGGGTTTTCACGTTATGAGATTTTCCATGGAAGTGGCAAATACAGATTAAATGGGGAAATAATATGGGGCAGCTTTTTGACGGGGACAGTGATATGTGGATGCACGAGCACTACCAAGCTCATAATACACTGCCATGGGAAAATGCCCTTTCTTTTGTTTTTTTGCTGCTGCAGACTAACTTGGCCTCCCCTCTGGAAATGTATCATTACTGTATTCTGCCTAGACAAATTAGGAAGGAAACAGGAAATCATTATACACTGAGAATACACAATGCTACCCAAGACGTAGTTCTTGATGAACCAAGTTCCTGAAACCAGAGTGCAATATACTTCTGGTGCATTCCTGGGACTCTTCTGAAGTGATGCCAAAATGTTGATGCTATCCTGAATTGCTTATTTCACGAGATGCACAGCTTTAAGTGAAACCATAGGCCAGTGATGGGGAACCTGTGGGCTTCAAGATTTTGTTACACCCCACCTCCCACCATCCCTGACCATTGACCATTTGCGTAGGACTGTTGGGAGTTGGACTACAACAACCTCTGGAGGATTAGAGTTTTCCCATCCCTGCTGTAGAGCATAGTTTAACTTTTATCACTTCAGATGCTTTCTCCCTTGACAAATATTTTAACAATTTGTTTTACCAAGATTTCTATGGGCAGATAAACTTGCTTCACATCATCGGATGTTGTTCTAAGGTTTCCATTGTGAACGATGTGGGAACAACAGGCCAAAATGCACACTCCCTGGCCGTAAAAATTACAGGTCTATAAATTGAGTTTTCTTCACAGCTAGATGTTGGCAAAGCTGACAATGAAAAAGTGATTTTGTTTTTCATCAAGCAGCTGGATGAAAAGAAGCTCAAGGTAATACAAAGGTCACTGATAATTGCCCCCCTATAGATGGTGATAGACATTTCGACTGAATATGGGAACACCACAAGCAACTTTCTTTCAAAAAGCCCAATCACTTTCTTTGTAGTTAAAGCTGCTTCCACATTAAATAGAAATTGCATTGAAATTGTTAGAAAAACATGAAACATTGATAGGTAGGTGAATAATGAATCCTTTTGCAGTAAATGGTATTCATGATTAACCCAAGTCCGTTGCTTTCAGTAGGTCTACTCTGTGCAGAACCTGTTAAGTATAATAGATTTAATTGACACATAAATGGAAAGTGTATGTGTATTAATGAAGTTATAAAATGAAAAATGGCTAAATGTATATTGCTGAAGGTTTAATATGGGGATTTCTCCTAGGGCTATAGTAAAGCCAAGGAGAGCACTCTGAGCTCTTGCTGATAATTAACTAACTGATTGTTGTTCTCTGGTAGTAAACATGCGAGTGTTGTAAGCTTAGATCATGTGATGAAGGTATTGGGTTGCAACTCCCCATTTTTAAGGGAGTTACCTTTGTGTCCTTTGTCTTATGGCTCTGTGAAGTAAGGACATGTAAAAGACCCTCTCTGAGAGAGAGAAAAAACAGCTCCAGACTAAAATGGATGCTGTGGGAAGAGACAGACCTTCTGCTTCTAGGTCTGTTGGAATTATTTCATACTTTGTAAGATGCTGAGCCTGTGCTGCACAGCACAAGACATTGTGTGGATGCTTTGGATGTATCATTTTCTGTATTCTGTTCTGTTATGAAGAAAGTTCTGCAAATAAAAGTTTGAATAATATCTTTATGAGCCTGAATAATGATTTCTTCCAAAAAGGAGTCAGTTCTTATGCTTCCAATATTAATATCTGCAACAGGACTGACTTGCATTAAAGCTAACATTCTGCTTACAGCTTGGAGTGAATGGTTTTTCTGAATGCATGTGTGAATTTTGCATTCAGAACCTCATGCTGAGAGTTGGGGGGCTTGAACTGAAAGGATGAGTGAAGCCTGGGCTGCTAAATGTCACCCTACCTAGTCACACTTGCCAGCAAGACCTGGCTGTACCTTCCCTTTCTTAGGAAAACTGTGGCTCAGATGCTTTCTGAATAGCTAGGAAATACTTGGACACTCCTGAAAGGGAACATGCTTTTCTCCCACCCTCCACATCTCCAACTAAGCATGGTGATGATGTAACCTAGATCTTTGAAAAGGAACAAAAAAGAGAAGCTACAGCTTTGGCTGTGTTCTACCTCCATTGTCAGAGGCAGTAGGCTGGGAATTCCAAATAGAGTTGAACGTTGTTGCACTCGAGTCCTGCTTATGAGCTTCCTATAGGCAATTCAAAAAGGATAGTGGATTAAATAGGCCTTTGGCCTGTTTTGCTAACCTCCGGGTACACCTCTGCATATAAATATCTGATTTGTTCTGCTGCCATTCCTAAAGACAGCATATATTGTCCAGGGCCACCAACAGCTCGTATTCATTATTAATAGTAGTTCTGAACAGCTTTTCCCAGTAGCATGTCAGGCTAGGAAAGTATTGTCTGGAAAGCATAGCATCAGAGTTTATTATTTAAATCGCCAAGCGAAGACCTTGATTGAAACCATTGATTTTAATGAAACATTTTATTAGCTCTCTCTCTCTCTCTCTCTTAAAGGAAAAGCACATTGTAATAAATTGCTGTCGGTATTGAAACAAGTTGGTTTAGCTCTAGATACAATGCTCTCTGTCTGAAGTTGTGGGAAATGAGTCACACCTAAGAAACAGTGATTCTACAAGCACATCCAATTTGCATCAAAAGAAGCCAGTTCCACAGGGAACACACGAGCATGCCAACTTGTCTGCATAGTAAGACATATATCCCATCAGCAAAGTGTACCGATGGCTGCTTAGGAGAAACGGACTCCTTTGCTAGGTCAGGGTGATTCTCTGCTTGATTCCAGTGGGACACTGGCTTGTACAAATATCTCCCTCATCTTTACCTGTTCCCATCCCCGCCAGGCGTCCACTCTGCAGCCAATCTGGTGCCCTCCAGCTATTTTGGACTACAACTCCCAGCAGCTCCTGATGGCACCAGGATGGCTGCTGTACTAAATGCTATTCTAATCTAGACAATCCCTGAGTCCTCAGTGGGGGCTGTAGCAGGGAAGAGACATCTGGAATCTCTGCTCCACTAATGGACAATGGGCAGTTTGAAGGTTCTAACCTCCTAGATTTGGTATAGCTTTTTTGCAGTCAGTGAGGTGCTCTCTTCTCTCTCTGTCTTTGTCTCTCTTCATCCACTGAAGCTGGATATTTCCCAATTCTGACAACCCAGCCTTCAGTTACTTTCTCTTTTTGAGTTTCCTGCTGCTTTTATTGCTTTTATTGCTCTGGCTTTTACTGCTGCTAGTTTTATTGCTGTTTTCCTGGATGGTGATTTGGATTGCTTTCAAGTTTGCTGTTTTAGGTGCGTAAAATGTAAGCCGCCTTGGACAATTAATAGGAAAGATGGATAAAAATGTATTAAAAGACGAAATAAACAAGAAACTTACTGGTTTATATATAGATATTGAACCCATTAATCTATCTATAGAAAATGAAAATAAACATTACTTTTAAAAACAGACGCTTAACAATTTAGGAAATGAACATAAAAGGTGTCTAATTAATTGTAAGAATAAATTCACTAAATGACATTTAAAACACTGGTTTGCCTTAAACAATATGCTTTTTAAACATTAAACAAATAGTTTATATTTAGAGGAGCATATCCAAGCAATCACAATATGGGAGAAAGGAGTGTGAAACTGACAGTGGTAGGAATAGTAAGTATTCATTTAGCACTTGGCATCTTCAAGGAGCTGTTCAAACATTAATTCATCCTGACAACACCTTGACAGGGCTGATGAAGATATTAATCCAAATGTGCAGAAGGCTAAAGTCACCAAACAGATTTAAAAGATAGGGTGGGGGGGATGCATGCAGGAGGAAATCCCTAGTGTAGCACCTCATGTACTGTTTCTTGTAGCAGTTATAGTTAGTAGTACATGATGGATAATAAAATTGCCTTGACCAAATACCACTGTATGATAGCCACATTTATTTATTTATTCATTCATCTGAGAAACATATATTTCTATGCATGTGTACACTCAAGAAAGCTTAGAACACGAATCTACAATCTTTTGTTCCCTGGGAGGGTGTCCCAGATCTCTCCTTCAGCAGGCAGAGAGGGAGATTCGCTGGTGGAGGAAGTCCACATCCTCCCTTCAGCTGTGGAAACCTCCATGGTGGTCTCTCCTCCAAGGTCAAAAAGGAGATGTGCTCCAGGGATGTGTCTGGAGTAGATCAAGGGGCAGGTCCGGGGCAAATGGAGACTGTAGTGGAGAGATTGTGGAGAAGACGTTGGTGGTCAATGTGGCTTTTATAGTAATATATATATATATATGAAAGTTTGTCTGTTTCTCCTCTGTGCCTTTGGACAACTCCTAAGATCATCACTAAATCTGATGTGAAGGGTCATGAGATAAAGGAGCTGCATAAACCTTAGTTTTTCAAACTAAGAAAAGTCTTGCCTTAAAGCCCAAAGTGAGGATGCTTGCTGAAACTCTGGTGGAAGATAATAAGAATAAGAACACAAATACATACATACATACATACATACATACATACATACTTATTTGTACCCTGCCCATCTGGCTAGGTTTCCCCAGCCACTCTGGGCAGCTCACAATAGAATATTAAAAACATGATAAGGCATCAAACATTAAAAACTTCCCTAAACAGGGCTGTCTTCAGATATCTTCTGAAAGTCAGATAGTTGTTTATTTCCTTGACATCTGCTGGGAGGGCGTTCCACAGGGCAGATGCCATTACCGAGAAGGCCTTTTGCCTGGTTCCCTGTAACCTCACTTCCCACTGTGAGGGAACCACCAGAAGGCTCTCAGCTTGGACCTCAGTGTCTGGGCTGAATGATGGCAGTGGAGATGCTTAATGAAACACTCAATGCCAAATGGCCAGCTGAAGCCAGTCAGGTCTCTGCAACACAGGGGACAACTAATGGTGTTCCTCTGGATGATCTCAGGGAGCAAGTAGGGATATAATGTAAGTTTGTTTGTTTTATTACATTTATAGCCTGCCTTTCTCTTGCCATGGAACCCAAGGTGGTATATGTCCGCTTTCCAGATGGTCATCCATCCAGGCACTGACCAGACCCAGGCCTGCTTCACTTCAGCAAGGATGTGACTTCATGTGTCTTCAGACCTTGGGTATTAATTTTTGTATAAACCACTGTTTCCAGAGCAATAGCTTCTCTTTTTATTGCTGTCAATTTTAAAATAGCAATAATAAAAATAACTAAGTCACAATATTGGAGTTGCCATTGTAAAACAAAGAAACAAAATAATTTCTCTCAAAACAGTAAATAAAGCCTTCTCTCTGCCAGCAGGAACAGGAACTGACATATTTGGAGTCAGTTAAGGGGCAATGTAATAATGCTGTGTCCCAGTCGAACAAGAGGCAGTTATAGGGGCCAAAATCATAAGAAGGAAGCTTTAAATTAATGGGACAGTTGTGGGGGACCTATGCTGAATGGAACTTTCTTCCAAATAAATATTATTGTAGGATTTTTTTGCTATGGAGATAGGCACTGCTGAATAATACAGTATTATATTATGTGCTGTGTACAACCATCATGTTGATTCCACTTATTTATTAATTAAACAAAATTAAGAAAGAGGAACAATGCCTCAACAGCACTAATATTGATACGGGGGGAACCCTAAAGACATTATTTGCTTTATTACCTAAGTGATTCTGCAAATCATCTTGGAAACATTTATAGAGTAAATCTAGTTTATACCATTACTTTTGCAAAATGCAATTCTTTCTATCACAAAACAGCCAGAGCTGTAGAAAAACACACATCAAGGTAACTGCTACAAGGACAAATCACTAAAGTCTAGAGGAGAAAGAAGTGTTTTGAATTTGCCATTGTCATTGCCTGCCACACAATGGCTTTTGTGTGGAGATAACATGCACAGAGAAGTATTGTGTACAGGGAAAGGGGGGGGGCGACGACTGTTTCATGGCCATTCAAACTGTGTCCAGACTTTCTTGTCCTCTGAGCTAGATATTAAAATGTTCATTTCAACCTAGGCGTAAGATGTGTATATCTTTAAACATGATGTGTTTACCAGCAAGTATCCTTCAGAAAGGATGGATTCATGTTTTGCCTCCATTTCCTTACACCTTGCATGCATACTTTGGGAGGAAGAGTGGTATAGAAATTTAACAACCAAATGAATAAATACTACCCGAGCCATAGGCCAGTGGTAAAGCAGTTAAACCTATGTCACTTCACACTATGGACTTGTATTGTTGTATGTGATCCTCTTTATAGAAATTCCCTGCACATAGAAAACTAATAGATCTGGGGAAAGGCAAAGTTCCTTATCCTTGAAAGCTTTTTTAAAAAATAAATAAATAAATGGAGGCGATATTTCTGCATTGTAGCATTACAGATAGGGGTTTACTACTTCAGTGAAAACTGGTCCCCAATATGCATAGTCTATTAAGAATGCCAACTTTCTATGGCTTTCTGGGGCTAGGGGCATATAGATTACAGTTAACAGACAAAGCTTTTCCCGTTATGAAGAGAGAAGGTGTTACCCATTGATATGCACATGCCAATAAATAACTGGGCCATCTCAGAGCCTTTTGGGGAAATGGGTTCTCTAACTGTGCAAAGCTTTGTTAACAATGGAAGCCATGGTATACAAAGACAGACCATCAGTCCACCTAACTTAGTATTGTACTGATGGGCAGTGGCTCTCCAGGACTTCAGACAGGGTTCTTGACCTGGAGATGCCAAGGATTGAACCTGGAACCTTCTGGACACAAACCAGATGTTCTCCCACTGAGCTACAGCTGAGGTTCAGTACCTTGGATTCTTCTCGAATCCTCAGGCTTTCCCTGTAACTTTGTCCCTGTGTTGCCTTCTGCAAATCTCACCCAGCATTCTGCCACAAACCAGTCCTCCTGCTGGGTGTTTGTGCCATAACTATGAAGCACCTTTGATAATCCGTCCCATAGTGATCAAAAGTTCCACATCCCTTGAAGTGAGGAGACCACATGCACTCTTTGCCTTTGCTGGGGAAAGCAACAGTTCCCTGCTTTTCTGATGAACACATTAATTTGGTGCACTCTTCCCTCTCCCGATACGAGTAAATTATGGTAATCCTGATCCCCTACACAGTGTGTGCTCAGCTTTGCTTTTTGTTTTTTTTAAAAAATGCCTTTTGCGTAAATGTGTATTAAATTATTTAATTCAACGCCTTCAGTAGTTTTCCATGTGTTTGTTTTACATTTCAACCACTTCAGGAGATGCAGTGCACTCGTGTGCTAATAAAATCATCAACTTACTGGCTTCGGTCAGTTGTAGTCTGTTTCCTTTTCTGCTTAGCCTAACGCAACACAGCCACCTTGTATTAGATGTGGAGGCTGCCGTGAGCTGCAAACAACTGAATGGCCTTCATGTGTGGGGAAAGCAAGACCTTGTACAGTATGCTAGCCAAGGTGTCTTACCATTGCATGTTCAGTGTGAAGGGCCTGTACAGAGGTGCACAATGAGGGCTCCTTCACCCCAGGAGGAAATTGGCCCTATGGCATATGCACGCAAATGCACTGATGCTGAAAGTTTAACTCAGAAAGCCCTTTTCAGACCTTTGGTGTAAGTGTCTGTCAGGATTGCTTATTTATATGATGGTCAGAACTGCAGACTCTTTTCTGCCCAAGGGCATACCCTCCAATATTTCTCCGATGAAAATAGGTAAAGGTACCCCTGACCATTAGGTCCAGTCGCGGACAACTCTGGGGTTGCACGCTAATCTCACTCTATAGGCTGAGGGAGCCAGCGTTTGTCTGCAGACAGCTTCCGGGTCATGTGGCCAGCATGACTAAGTCACTTCTATTCAGGGCCGGATTTAGGTTTGATGAGGCCCTAAGCTACTGAAGGTAATGGGGCCCTTTATATGTCCAGCTGTCCTTTGCCAACAACAGATTGTCCCTGTTTTTTGAATATATGCTATATGGTAATTTATGAACCTAATAGGTATCTAAAGCCATCTGCACATAACAAAATATGTATTTTATCAAAGTAATTGTTGAACTCAAATACAATTAAGAAGAAGTATATTAATAGTGAAATACAATTAAGAAGAAGTATATGGAGGGGGCAAGAGAGTGGGGCCCTAAGCTATAGCTTGTTTAGCTTATACGTAAATCCGGCACTGGTCTATTCCATTATAATAATAATGATAATAATTTTATTTATACCCTGCCCCTCTGACCGAGTTGCCCAGCCACTTTAGGTGGCTACCAATATACATAAAAACATAATAAAAAAGTTTAAAAAACCTTCCCTATACAGGGCTGCCTTCAGATGTCTTCAAAAGGTTGTATAGTTATTTATTTCCTTGGCTCGGGGTCGGGGTCATATAACTCCATACCCTACAACATTTCTCTGATGAAAATAGGGATGTCTTAAGGAGAAGTGGACATTCCAGGATCAGATCAGTAACTGGGACGCCTTCTGTAAATCCAGGACTGTCCCTGGAAAATCGGGACACATGGAGGGTCTGCAAGGGGCCTAATCCCTTGTGGGAAACTGTTTGGGTGCTGCATGCTAGTGATGGGCAGGACCAGTGCAATGGATGTGACTTTTACCTTTGCCACATTCCAGCTGTGCAAACAATTAAGGGTCTCTAAACACAAAGCCGCCGAAGAATTGATGCTTTTGAATTATGGTCCTGGAGGAGACTCTTGAGAGTCCAATGGACTGCAAGAAGATCAAACCTATCCATTCTTAAGGAAATCAGCCCTGAGTGCTCACTGGAAGGACAGATCGTGAAGCTGAGTCTCCAATACTTTGGCCACCTCATGAGAAGAGAAGACTCCCTGGAAAAGACCCTGATGTTGGGAAAGATGGAGGGCACAAGGAGAAGGGGATGGCAGAGGACGAGATGGTTGGATAGTGTTCTTGAAGGCTACCAGCTTGAGTTTGACCAAACTGTGGGAGGCAGTGGAAGACAGAAGTGCCTGGCGTGCTCTGGTCCATGGGGTCACAAAGAGTCGGACACGACTAAACAGCTGAACAACAATAACAAACACAAAGCATCTCTCCATTTTCTATCCAGGCAAGTAAGAAGCAGATGACACAATGCAGCCTGGCAAAAATCTTGGAGCAGGGACAGTGATGGGCACAGCCTGGGGATGACAGCTGCCTGGAGAAAGACCTGGAGGGTCAGGAAGAGAATCTTGGAGGGCCACATTCACCCCAGACCTGAGGTTCTCAGCCCTGCTCTACCCCACCCTTCAAATAAAAAGCCATGCTGAAGACAGGCCAGACCCCTGCAATTCCACTCCCTACACCTACATACATTTATCGATCACAGAAGTAATGTCTGAAAATATCTCTGTCCCGTGAAGGAGTGTGCTGTTTTCTAGGTGACACTGCATATCTTTCCAAACTTAGAAGGTTTACAGTATACTACGAAGTGCTAGTATAACCAGATGTCAAGGCATTTCAAGGAAGTAAAAGAAAAGAAACAGCTTGGCATAATACTTTCCACATTCTATTCAAACAAAGTCTCTTTCGACTGTAACCTGCTCTGCTGATCACACCTTCAGAATTTTTTTGTGCAAGGAGTGGAAAGGTTTTATAATGTTAAAGCTGATTCCTTGCAGCAAGCTTAGGATTATGAATTTACGATATATTTCATCACCTTTCATTATGCATTTCAGGGGGAAAGTGGAAATGAAGTGTCACTTTCTCTCTATCCCCCCCCCCCCTTTTAAAAGCATTAACCAACAGGATGTTTGAAAGATGCAAACTGTCAGAAAAGACTTTTTTTATTATTGTAAAAGGAGCTAGACAATGAGAGATTTCAAACTGCCTTTAAGCATCTTTGCCAGCACAATTTACCAGCATGAAAAGAAAGCAACTCAGTTGCAGTCTGTAATCTCCGAAATGGTTTGCATATCTTCCCTGCTTTGTCATTTGAGCATGCTGCAAAATCTGGCATGTGATGCTAGATCTCAAATTCAGATTTAATAAAGAAGAAAAAGGTTTCCGAAGTGCAAATGAGGATTGCTGAGAATTTAATAATCGGAGTCCAATTAATTCTGTTAAATTAGAAACAGGCTGGAGTTCTTATCAAACTGGGCCACTCAAGCTACTTGCAGAGTTGAGAAATATGCTGTGGATCTGAAGATAAATAACACAGATGGGACCTGGAGCAATGTGATTGTATCTTGGTTTCTTCATCAAAATGACTGCAGAGGATCTACTTCCTGTTGAGGCTACTTGGTGTCCTCTCCAGAACAGACATCAACAGTTAGCATATCAGCACACTTTTAATGCTAGGCAACTGTTTAAGCAAAACCAATCAGTCCGGAATTTCTTCTAGGAATCTAAAGCTTTTTCAGGCATAATGTTATCACCACATATATATATATCTCAGATCCTGAGGACTGCAGATTTGCTTTTCTTTTTAAATAATAGCCAAAACAGATTATTTGCCATCACACATGAATAGGAGCTGCCTAAATAGCTCACTAATAGGGATACGGGTGGCGCTGTGATCTAAACCACAGAGCCTAGGACTTGCCATTCGGAAGGTCGGCATTTCGAATCCCCGCAGCGGGGTGAGCACCCGTTGCTCGGTCCCTGCTCCTGCCAACCTAGCAGTTCGAAAGCACACCAAAGTGCAAGTAGATAAATAGGTACCGCTCTGGCAGGAAGGTAAACGACGTTTCCGTGCACTGCTCTGGTTTCGCCAGAAGCGGCTTAGTCATGCTGACCACATGACCTGGAAAAACTGTCTACGGACAAACGTCGGCTCCCTCGGCAAGTAAAGCGAGATGAGCGATGCAACCCCAGAGTTGTTTGCAACTGGACTTAACTGTCAGGGGTCCTTTACTTTTTAAAAAATAGCTCACTAAATTATAGCATAAGATATGCTTGCAGAAGTACTATTGAAGGTGTTTTAATGTCATGGTTTCCTATTCATGTATCACTATATAGCATGTATGACTTCAACTTGTCTGAGGTTATTCAGAAGACCGACGACAAAGCCAGGAATAGAAGATGAATCCTAGTTCCAGCCCCAGTGTTGTCATCTATCTTGTTAGGTCAAAGCACATGGCACAAATATCGGCTTGTAAATATTGGCTGGCAAATAGATGCTCTCTGCCAATATATAGTTACTATTATTATTTCATGCAATCTAATCTTCTATCTTTCCCTAGCTTTATGTGGCTGAAATATTTGTGTTTTCCATTATGACCTTAGCTTGACTAGGCTTTTAAAGTAAAGTGGGTTCTGCACAGACTAAGAGAGGGTGTTCAAGACTGCAAACACAGAGTGCAAAGCATGAAAAGTGAATCATACAAGATTTAGATATGTGCATAAAATGTAGCTGGGGCTGCTGTAGTTAATGGTGATGACTATAATGCATTATATTATTGGTCAGAGTTTAATTGCTCCTGCGTTCTTTCAGCTATGGTCCCCCTTGATGTTCAGCCTCACCTTTTCTTACTCTTCACAATGGAAAGCATAATGCTGGTAGTCAACAAAAGAGGTTTAAAGACTGACTCAAGGCAAATTTTTTAAATGTAGTATAAACACCAACAACTGGGAAACTCTTGCCTGCGAGCACTCCAATTGAAGAACAGCCTTTACCAAAGGTGTCGTGGGCTTTGGAGACACTCGAACTCAGGACGCAAGGGCGAAGGAAGGCACGCTTGGCAAATCCACACCATGATCAACTCCCGCCCGGAAACCAATATCCCCAGTGTGAAAGGATGTGTGGATTCAGAATTTGCCTCCACAGTCACTTATGGACTCATTGTTAAAACCGTGTTTATGGATGACAATCTTACTTGGCTACAAGTGATCGCCAAAGAAGACTCTTCACCTCTGACAGCTGATGCCTCCTACTGGATGTTTTTTATTCATGCACTCCTAGATTCCGACAGCTCTAGATAGATCCATTCATAGATGAGATCCTTCCAGTTAACTGATCTTGTGCATGTGCTCTCTATCTTGTTGGAAATCCAACTCCCCCCCCCACACACATGTGATGATAACTGATGAACACATAGGATGCCATCAAGGCTGAGATGCCAGTAATCTTGTTTTAAAAGTTTCATCTCTTTGTAACTTGTGACTTCTTCTCTTCAAAGCAATCCAGACCACAGATGGATGATACTGGCAGAATGTAACCAATTACACTGAAAGAAAAAAAATGCACACACACCAGCCAGAATTCAAGTTATTTATAATAAATTACAACAACAGAGACCAGTCATAAATACTTGTTTATGTTTTGCTAAAGTCAAAGAAAGATCTTGACATAATCTTGAACACCAAAAGATAATAATGCGCCCAGCATAATAGAATCTAACACCGTAAAGAAATCTCTTCTATTCTCTTATCAGTTAGCCAGAGAATTTGTTTGCAATATGAGTTTTGGAAAGAATGTGGGAGCCAAGGGTAAGAACATAAGAATAGCTTAGCTGGATCCAGCCAGTGCCCCTTCTAGTCTGGGATCCTGTTTTCACAGTGGGGGAATCAGATGCAAGTGGGAAGCCTTCAAGTGCAAAGTGAGCAGTGGCCACCCACATTTTTAATATGTTTCTTTTAAATGAGTCAGCTGCCCTAGAGGACCACAACAGTTTGAGAAATTATTCTCACCTTCGAATGGTTGTGTGTGGCTGGAATCCAGCAGAAAAGAAGGGGGAGGAAAACCCAGGGCACTATCTTAAAACTGTTTACATTTTTTTTTAAAAAAAAATAATAATTCCCCAGTTCTTTTTGATGCATTTACTTTGAGAGTTTTGGGCTTGGTGGGCTTCCCTGAGACTTTCTGCACAGAATATTACATCAAACATGCCTGCACAGCAGTGATCTCCCAGCACTGTCTGATATTCCCTCTGTGCAGAAGGCAGGGAGAGATTTCATTTCATGCATCATTCATAAAGCCACTGCTGGTACAGTATTCCACAAGTTGCTACATCTCTCCCTCCAACCGGCTTCCTCTTATTCCTCCAGCAAAGGCTTCAAACAGGAAAAAAGACATCTCTACTCTCCAGTCTCTTTGGAAATTGGCCACAGGTGCTGCACCATGTCGATAGCACCCTTTGTCTTTTTAAATATATAATTTAAGCTAAATGGGGGGCCTAAATCAATTGCTTGGGATTTTAACTCAAGCGCCTCGCATTTTGCATGATTTCCAAAGAGCTGCAGTCATAGAGGCATTGCCAGAACTTCTAACACAAAGCAAAGGACAAAAATAAAAATGTGTTTGTGTCTGGGTAGCAGTTCTAACATGAAATGGAAGGTACTTTTAGGTGGCATGAGAAGTAATTCGCTGAGCTAGGAACACAGAAGGCTCTATTATACCAAATGTGGTTGTTGGTCCATCTAGTTCAGTATTGTCTACACTGACTGGAAGGGGCTCTCCAGAATTTCACATGGGACGTTCCCATCCTAAACTAGAGATGCCAGAGATCAAACCTGGGACTGTCTATATTCAGAACAGATGCTCTACCACTGAGCTATAGCCATTTTGCTGTGGGTGGAGCCTTTTGGAGTCATTGGGATGAAAAAACGACCACCCATGATACAGTTCACACTCTCCACTGGCCTAGAGGTGATCAGTTTTGACTTGCCTGAAGCAGGCCTTTGTACAACATCACTCTAGTATTCAGAGGCATATTGTTTATGCAGTGGTGGTAGAACATTTGTGGATCTGATTTGCTTGCTTGGTGCTCCTTGTAATTGCAGAGTGGCAGGAGCAAAGAGCAGTTCCAGCATGACTCCACCCAGTCATCCTACTGAGACTTCTTGACCTGGCCTAGTTATAAATGATTCCCGTGTCTTTTCCTGAGAAAAGTTTAGGCTTTGTCTATGGTCACATCCACACCATACACCTAAAGCATCCTTATACCACTTTAACAGTCATGAATAGTCCTGGGGACTGTGGTTTGATGGGAATGGTAGCTCTGTGAGGTCAGCGCCCTTAACCACCTACAGTTCCCAAGATTCTTTGGGGGAAGCCATGATGGTTAAATGGGATGAAAGTGCTTTAGATATATGGTGTGGACTGCTTGTGCCCCTTGTTTGTTTGTTTGCTCTCTCTCCCTCCTCCCACTTGCAGAGGGAAAAGCTCAGTTTCCCTTTCTTGGACCATTGATTCCTGGAGCTTCCTGGCACTTTGTCCTGCAGGTACTCAAGTTTGGCTCTGCTTTGGCTGCCTGCAGCCATTATGTTGGCACAGAGCAGCAAACAGGTGCTGTAATTAAACCCGGTATACTGTGCAAGTAAGCAGAAGGAATTTTCTTGATGTCGTGCCAAGTATTTACTCCCCTTTCCAGCTACAAGTAAATTTAGTAGGGTCTGACCCTCCCAAAATGTCCTTTTAGTCCTAGCTCCATCTGCTACTATTATCTAAAAGGTAATTTATTCTGGTAATAGAGTGTTAAATTATCCATCTGTCCAGTGATCAAGATGTTGTACGTCATCTAGATTTTCAGCTTGGATCAGTTTCATTAAGATGTTGAGCTGTTTCTTATTTTCACCACCTGAGGATGCATCTTTGCTAGTACTAGGGGTTTCCATTTTTGGCATAGTTTTGCTTCATGGGACATCACGGGTTGTCCAGCAGCAAACTGCAGCCCATAAGAATATATATATTCAGCTCCAAGACTGCAATCCTACAGCACTTATCTGTAAGTAAGCCCCACTGAATTAAATGGAACTTCCTTCTGAGTAAAGATGTATAGGATTACACAGAAAACAGCAAGGGGACGGAAGATGAGAACATGTTTTTAATTGTTTGTTTATGGGGTTTAAATTCCAGTTTTTTTACTCATGTGGCAATATTCAAGATGGTTTATAATATTCAGAAGCAATGAACATAAATGCTGATATACTTTAAAAAATAATAATGATATAATAAGACACAAGAGAGCAAAAATCGCACACCCTTTTAAAAAAAAGCAAGTCATAATAAGACTGAGGAAAATAAGAAAACAAGGAGGGAAGCCTAAACAAACAAACAAGTTTTCACTTGAGGACATATAAATATGGGGAAGGGAAGAGTTGAATCTCATGGGGTAGGGAGCTCCACAATGTCAAAGCTGCTAGTCAAAACTCATTCCCTTGTTGCCATCACATTTCCCTTGGCCTGTGAAGAGAGCTCTTGGCACAGAGAAGAGCCCGGAGGCCCAGTGTCAGCACCCAGAATGGTTGTAGAAATGGTAGAGCCAAATCCCCCAAATCCCACTGGGACTGATGCTGGTCTCCTACATTCATTTACTTCATTAAAAACAACAACAACAAGCTTTTAAAGGGCACTGTGGTGAGAGACATAGCTGACATGACAAGGGGTCCAAAGGCATTCTGGGAAAATAAAGATGGTGATGACAGCTTTACCTGGCGCTTCTTGGTGGTGGGCTGAGTGTTGTGGCCTGACGTGGTAAGCTGATGGAGGAGATTGGGGGAGGTGGTGGGCAGGCAACAGTGCTGGGGACAGGTGACTCTCAGCCTGGTGCTGAGAAAAGGAGGGCTAGGAGAAGCAGCCGCAGCTGTGACCATCTTCATTTCATGGAGCTGGAGGGAGGAGGGAAAGCTGAGAGGGCATTTTATTGAGGGCCTCCTAAGTCCTCCTGCCAGCCTTGAGGCCCTGTTCTTCTGACTTCAGGGTTGAGGCAGGATCATATGGAGCAAGACAGTCTTTGAGGTATCCAGGTCCTGAATGGTTAAGGCTGGGATAGGAGTGGCATGGTATGGCATCTCAATTTGGTGCCAGTCAGCAACCAACAGCATTCTGATCCAACTTAACATGTTCACATACTCTTCAAGGGCAAGGTATACAGAGTGTGTTACAACAGTCTGTCCTTGATGTAACTAAAGCATCTGTAACCTTAGTTCTTAGGTCTGCTCTGCACAGGACTGGGAGGAGCTGGAGTACAAGCTGTAGCTTGGCAACAGCCCGCCTGGCTTCAACCTGAGTTATCCAGGAGCCTCTCTAGTCACCTAGTGATCTTGATTTCCCAGTCAAAATACCCAACGAAAGTACTTGATTTTTTAAGAGAAGTGACACCCTATCCAAAACAGGCTGAATTCCTATGGACTCTCAGGCATTCTGAGGAAGGGAACATCAAGCTGAACTTATGCTCTCTCATAATACTAGAACTCAGGGGTGCAGGTGGTGCTGTGGTCTAAACCACTGAGCCTTTTGGGCTTGCCGATCAGAAGGTCGGCGGTTCGAATCCCCGCAACGGAGTGAGCTCCCATTGCTCTGTCCCAGCTCCTGCCAACCTATCAAAAGCATGACAGTGCAAGTAGATAAATAGGGACCACTGTGGTGGGAAGGTAAACAGTGTCCATCACGGTGTTCCATTGCGCCAGAAGCAGTTTAGTCATGCTGGCCACATGACCCAGAAAGCTGTCTGTGGACAAACGCCGGCTCCCTTGGCCTGAAAGTGAGATGAGCATGCACCCCATAGTCCCCTTTGACTGGACTTAACTGTCCAGGAGTCCTTTACCTTTACCTGTTTTTAGAACTCGGGAATATAAGATGAAGGTGAACATTAGAAGATTGGAACAGACCAAAGAGTACATAGCATATAGATAAACGATGGATTTCACTCTCATAGGAAGTAGTGATGGCCACCAATTTGGTGGCTTTGGAAGAGGGCTAGAGAAATTCATGGAAGATAAGGCTATCAATAGCTACTAGCCACTAGGTCTATGTTTTATCTCTGCTGTTGTCCCTCTAAACATCAGCTGCTGAAACCCGCAGGAAGGTTACACTCACGTCTTGCTTTGAGGCTTCCCTTAAGCATCCAGTTGGCCACTGTGAGAACAGGGTGCTGGACCTGCAAGTTGTCAAAAGGTGGCTCTTTATCATGGCTTCAGCATTAGATTCCCACCATTTTCATGTGGTCCTCCTTATATGCCTTTAACAGCAGCTTGCTCTGCAGACAGGAATCAGAAATAATGTTCCATATTGTCAAAAGCATTGCCTTCTGATTTCTGCAGACTATTCTGCATTCAAAAGGAGAAACGGGCCTGGCTGACATTTTCTGGTGAAAAATTAGCTGGGGACCAGCTCAGTTCACTTAGTGCCTTTTTTAAAACAGAAAGCATTATGCAACATGCAGCTCCCACAGTCAGGGAGACTGTGGAGCAAGATTCTGTTTTCAGCCAACCCACTGAGGACTAGCAATGTTTCTGATTCATTGCATGTTTGTATCTCAGTTCTCATTGGGCACTGTGAGGGAGGCAGAGGACAGTGGCTGATGGATGTCTGGTCAACATGAGTGGCAGCTACTTTTCAGGCTTGCTAGAAACTACTAAGCACAAACCACGATGGTTGCCTCTGGCTAATACATTTCTGTGATGGGAAAAGTGAATCCTGAACGATCTGGTTCAGGCTCTGATTCCTGACCTGTCCAGGGTAATTTTAAGACATGAAGCTTAAACTGCTTTTTGCTTGCAATGGCCCATAATGCTAATTCAAAGCATACCGTGCTTTGAATTATGAAGAACGTACATTCAGTTAAAAACTTCTCTTTTCCTGTTCTATTAATAACATGCATGACACTAAAATGGAAAGAAATGGTTTAAAGCTGCATTACTATACACCCTAAGCTATATTAAGGTGTACTTTTAGGAAGAGATGTGTAAGATTGCACTACACACCAGCTAGGTGAACATGCAAAACTTGCTTCCTAGTTTCCAGAATTGCATTTGATTCGTCTGCTGTTGCTAGCAGGGATAAAGTTTTAAGGGGATGGGTTCCATGCGATAGTCTTACCACATCCCTGCTTGTTTTCTGTTGTTAAATAACTCTTAGAGATGAGAAGAAACAATGATCCTTTTAAATAGTTTCACATATTCAGGTAATTATTGGACAGGTTCACAAATGGTCATTTCCCCCCTTCACAGGATTCCATATATGTCATTGACTTAGGGCTCCTCCACAGTTCCACTTGTCCTATTTCCCCCCTTCCCCTTGCCCCACTCCTTTCCCAGGGAAAACCCACTCTTTAGTGCTAAAATGGAGCAAATGTCAATTTGGAGAAAACTCAAATTGCTGTTTGCTCAAATTGAGTGCTAAAGAGCAGTTCTCCCTTGAGGAAAAGCAGAGAAATAAGAGGAAGTGTGGACAAGTCCTTAATTTATGAAGACATTCTGATTAGGATTTGGAGGGTAACAAAGGCTAACATGTGGGTCTCTATTGTTGATAGCGCCTCCTTTGGGAAATTTACTATTTGGGTCTAGAACAGGCATTTTACCATACATGGATATAAGCAACTTTCAGCACTGTCTGAGATTTTATAAATAGAATTAAAAAGCACAATGACCCAATATTGCTTGTTTTCTGCTACTGGCTTTGAAATGAAGCTTTGCTTTGAATGAGTACTTTGATAAGCAGGAAAACATACAGAAGGTCAAAATCAAAGGAAAAACTAGATTGGGCGGAGGTTATCATTGGAGGCAGAATACAGATAGTCATGGTGCAATCCTAAACAGGTGTACTCTGTAGGGATTGGG